CCCCAAAACCCCAAAACCCCAAAACCCCAATTAGATTTATAATTATTGAAAATGGATCCTAAAGAGCTACAAGAAGAGAACGAACGGTGTGTCTTATTGCTCATATTCCCTTAGATACAAGGATGCTTTCGCCAAGATGGAACGGCAATGGAGAGATGCAACAATGGCACTCAAATCAAGCAAGAATAATGAAAAACTGGTTGAAATGAGTAACAAAGTCAAAACCATGAATATTAAGCTTATAAACCTCAGGAAGGAAAATCAAAAGATGAAGGAGAAGATGAAGTTCAAGATGTACAAACCACCCCCTGCTGAGTCTGAAGGCTCTGAACCTCTGGAGAGCCCCAAGTTCAATGATGGTAAATAACTGGGTTACACTGTAGAGCTTGATGAGAAAATTCAATTCTTAAAAGATCAAATGAAGGAGAAAAATGGTCAGCTTAACCAGTATAAGGAGATTATTGACTCTAATTACCAAAGTGAAGATGGTAAACAACTTCTTTCTTGTCCATAATGTGTTATAGGTGGTTCCTCAGATAGAATTAGCTCAATCCTCAGACAAAAGGATCTTGAGATCCAACGACTGACCAGAGAGAGGAATAACGCTCTTGAGAAATTCGAGCAGGTTAAGAACCAGATCCCTGGAAGTACAGAATTTAAACAAAATGAGCTAAATATTGACAAAATATCTGCTGCTGAAGAGACTATTGCAGAACTTCAACAGCAGTTACAAGACCAAGAAGATTTTTCTAAATAAAATGATCGCTGTATTTCTATTGAGTAACTACTAGAATCTTGAAAACAAATGTAAAAAGTTAGAAAATCAAATGAAATCATCTCCAGCAAAAGACAGATTTTTCATTGAAAATGAAGAACAGTCCAAGGAATCTGCTCAAAATAAAGGTAAGCCTCTTCCTCATTGTGTGTAGCCAAGATCACAGAACTCCAGAGCCAGGCGACAGAACTGAGGAATAAGTTAAAGATGTATGAGAAGCGAATATTTGAACTCGAAAACACAAGGAGTAATACTTTCCTAACTATTTTAGAAAGAGAAAGCTCTTCCTACAAGCAAGAGCTAGAGATAGCTAATCGCAAAATCCGAGTTCTGGAAGACCAGAACTCTGGTGACGATAATGAGATTATCTCCCAGCAGAAGGAGCTGATAGCTGATCTTTCCAAGAGAGTTAAACTCTTGCAAGAAGAGATTAACCTTATATCAAGGAAGCATCATGAGCAGCTGATGAAGTTGAAAAATGATCCTTCAAAGTCTATCTCTTCACAGAAATCCCTTCTACCAAGGATGTCTTCTAAGAAGAAGGATTCTCGGGTGAACATGACTGTGGATTATGGAGGCCATATGCCTCCATTAGACAGAAGCAGTTCTCAGATGTCCCAGAATAGCATGCAAAAGAAGTCAGTTAAACAGAACTTCTTGCCAAATTCTGGAGACGAAAAGTTGTTCTCCCTAAAAACAAGCCAGGATCGTGAACTCATGAGCAACATTGATCAACTCGAGATTGAAGATCTCAAGATCCAGATGCTCAAAATGATGAAAAAGAACGAGCAGTTAGAGAATAACCTTGGAGCTTTAAAGCAGGAAATGAGTAGCAAACTGAACCTTCTTAGTAGAGAAAACGAAAATGCTGAGACAATCAAATTTACATCACCAGTAATTGCTGACCGGAATTTTGCTCAAGGAGCTCCTCCAAAGAAGGGATCTCTAAATGACCCAATCATGGACAAGAAGTTCAAAGATCTTGAGAAGGATAATGAAGATGCTTATCATAGAATCACTGTTCTTGAGGAAGAACTAAAGGTCCAAGAGCAATTCTTTAGAGACAAACTTCGAAAACAACAGAAATCAAACTCCAAAATGCAGGAAGATACTTTGATTACAGAGTCTAAATTTGTGAACATTATGGGGCAGCTCAATAACGAACAGAGTGAGATTTATGCAAAGAAGAAAAAACAGGAGATGGATACAAAGGACATCGTTGAATCAGCCCAAAGAAAAATCAAGGAATTAGAAGATGAACTTGAGTTCAGATCAAACCATTTTAAAACAGAGACTGAAAAACTAAAGTCTCAGAATAAGATGCTGAAGGAGACAGCCTCTATTTCAAGGAAAGAAGGTAATGATCTACAGGAGGAACACTCTTTGCGTCCTAATAAGCAGAAATAAGGAATAGTAAGTCTTTTCCAAGTACTTTTACCGAATTGGTTTGATCTATACATTCTAGAGGGCAGATAGAATTTTATACAACTCAATTCCAAGGAATAGTTTCAATCTAAAATTTTATTCCTTTCAGTTTTTATCAAGTTCCAAATTCATTTTGTGTTTGATCCCTTTTATAGCCAATTACTGCTAGCAAGAATTGATGCTCTTGAAGAAGCCAATAGATCAATCCAGCAGCAACTTCAGCTGAAGGAGACTGAAGTACTCAAAGCACTGAAGCAAGTCAATGAATTAACTGATAAGTTGAATAACAAGAAGAAAAAGAAGAGGATTGAAGAACGAAAAGAGCTGATTTCTCCTTCAAAAGGATCGCAAATCTCCTCTGGGAGATCCGGAATTCTCAAGAAACAGAAAAGTGAACTTTTTCTCTCCAAATGGGAGGATAATGAGCATAATGATGATGCCAGGATCGAACTCCTTAATGACTTCATCCACTCAGCAGAGCTAAGGCTTGATCTTTTTAAGCGGAAGAATGAGTTCCTAATCTGAATTAATCAGTGAATCGAGTCTAATAATCCCAGCCTTTATGAGAAAGGTGTGATTATTATTTCAGATCTTATTGACATAGATGTCATTAATAATGAAGAAATTTCATCACTCAAACCAGCTAACAAAGCTATTATCTGTCTCCAGCCTAAGAAGATTAATGAGGAGTCTCATTATGCAATGGTGAGACAGGTCTCGGCACTAAACTTGCTATGCAAGCTAGACCAGCTTGATTATCAATTTGATGATGAGTGAATGGATTCCATCAAGAAAAACGATGGAGTTAATACCGTTGTATCATTCCTTGGTAAGAATTCATGGTAATCTTTAGAGCAAAATCATCAGCAAGGATATAAAGCCCAAGCTTGACAACTTATGGGTATGATGATAGAGGGCGGAACTTTAGATGACGAAATAGAGAATTTAGAAGTTCCCACAATATTGAAGAAATTAACATCACATAAGAACAATATCGTTAGGCAGAACGCAGAAGAAGCCTTACAGATGTTAGAAGGAGAAGATTCAGAGACTGAACAAGAAAAGTTCACACAAGTATAAGATTTTCAATATTTATCAAAGGAAAAGGGGTTTTGGGGTTTTGGGGTTTTGGGG